CGAGTTGGCTCAGGATGCTGGGACTTGTTTTGCACATCAAATTCGAGACCGACTTGGCCTCCTGCGGACCTATTTTGAAGGCGCGGGCGATGGCCGCATGATGGGACCAATCCTGACATGCACAATAAGTTGCCGTTGTTTCATCTGAATCGTGATTCAACTGTTAATAAAAACTATCAAATTCCCCCGCCTCAAACATCTCTTCGGGGCTACCATGTCCAGCCCGCTTCAGTAGGGTGGCTTGGCGCAGGAAATTCATACAATTCGGGGGCCGCCGCAATTGGCCAGACATAGTGATGCCTCCATGACAAGCAAATCATATACGGTACACACCAGCACTCATGATTCGCAACAGGCCTCTGTTGGCGAAGACCTTTGAACGGATGTCTTTGAAGTCACCAAAAGTGCACCAGGTTGTAGCGAAGGACTCCTGCCAACAAAAATGCTTCGACTCCTGTCCCAGAGATGTCACAACAAAAACACCTTTCCTTGATGTGCGTCGGAATCTCGCTCAGAAGATCCAACTGCCGGATCCCTTCCATGGACAGTAGCAATGTCAGGCATCGCTTCCATCCTTTCACATAGCCAACCGTAAATGGCTTCAGAAGCGAGCCTCAAACCCACACAGCAACACATCCAGAGAAAAACACTCGACACACTTCACATGCAACATCGCTTGGTCGTTTGATTTCAAATTTGTCTCAATCAGGTCTATCGAGCCAGGCAGCTTCCGGGTACAAGGGATGGCAGGTCTACCACCTTGCTCTCCAAGAACGTGTTTGGGACTGAGGTGGTGGACACTCTCTCCACTCCGGGGAGGTCCGGGTTCGTGCGCATCCTGGGCAGTGGGAGTTTTGACTGGATAAATTTGGAAAAATTATGAACGTGCATGTGCAGCAAATTGTTGTCACCCAGGCACCCCTCTGACATCTCAAGCTCCATCAGCTGCTCGAGAACTTCGGGCTCTGCCCACCCTGAGACAGAGTGGTCTGCCCTCCAAGCCATCATCCAGGGGCGACACACCACGGACCCTTCCATCGATGTAGCGTAGCGGCACCTTCAGCATTGCTAGGAACAAAGAGACACTGTTTCGTTCTGTCCAACGCTTTGAAGGTTGACCAGCCAAGGGCACTCAGCATTGGGTGGAAATGAAAGGTCAATCCACTTGGCGAAATCCATCTTCTCATCCTGTCCCAAATTGTCTAGGACACTCAAAAGTGGGACACACCAACACAAAAGGTTCGCAAACCTATCATCAATATAGTAAATCAATATGGTCTTGCCGTCCCTTTTCTACCCACTATTATCGTGAATGGATATTGTCATTGTCACACCATGAACTCGAATTCGATTGTTCTGGCAGTGAAAATATAACTTGAAGGCCAGGACTTCCAAAGTTACAGCAAAAGCGCACCCTCATGTTCTGCAGGACATGACATGGCCAATGGGTCCACTCAGTTTGAAAAGCTGTCGGTCCTCTGTCTTGTACCGCAAAGTCAAATATTCGCTAGGGCCTGGTGAGCTCAAAACCGTCTCGCGGAACCTGAGAATTCCACATTCAAGCGCACTCAAGCTGCCCTGTGGAAAAATCGAGTTGAAAAGGAGACACACAATCTTCCACCCGTAAGTGCACATGAAAGTAAACAAATCAGTCAGATTGGTTTCAAGAAACCAATGAGTCAGCTTCGGAATGAAGGGCATCTCAACCACAGGCTTTGGTACCTTTGCTGGCGCGCCTCCATCAGAGGCACCTTTCCGTTTTGTTCCCTTGGCCTTGGGCGCCATGTGACATACAACGAATGGCGCCGGCGCTTGATCCTTGAAAAACATTGAGCAATTCTGAGCGATGGTTGCCGCAGGAGGCTGAGCTTTCATGAACAAAAGGAAAGATGCGACAAAAGCTAACACTATTTTTTCTTGGTTGCTCCAAGCAGATCCGTCACTCACACAAAGCAAATCCGTCACTCACGGCCAACAAATCCGTCACTCGCTCCAAAGAAATCCGTCACTTATCGGAACTAAATCCGTCACTCCTCGTCACACCCACAACCAACCTTGCGCGAGTGACTGATCTGGACTGACATCCGTCACTTCCAGGCAAAGATTTCAAGCAAATCCGTCACTCAGTGACATTGCTCAGAAGCCAGCCAGCAGTGACTGATCCCAATCAACATCGGTCACTGCGGGCAGGTTTTGGGTGTACTTTCATAACCTTAGGTTTTTTCCTCAGCATTTCATGCTCCAATGATGGATTGAGTGACTGATGTTGACTGGCATCCGTCACTGACATGTGAAGCAGAAGCGTAGGGATCTAGTGACTGATTCCGGTGGGTGCAATCTGAGGAGGTCTACTTACAGAACCACACTGCCGCCGTTGAAAAAATCCAGGCTGGCTACGTTTAGGGTTTAGGGTTGCGACACATCTCTTTGCGCACATGCTACAAGTACTATGTAAACACGTTCACCATCACCGAGATCCCTTGCCCTTGTGCTTACCTTTACCCTTACCCTTTGGGGCTCGGCCACTCGTTTTACGAAGGACCTCATCTGCAATTTTGAGGGCTTCCTCCCATGGGACACCCCCTGCATATCCACGGGCGGCAAGCTTGAAACGAGTTCGCAACTGTGCATTCTGCCGGTACTTCACTATGGTGTGCTGCTTGATCTCTGAACGTCCAAGCCTCGACCCAATGCTGGGCTGTAATGGGAAGAAATATATCCCTCTTCAAAAAACATTGGTTTAACATGAGTCTTGCGGTTTGCAATCAACTGTCTGCTCAAAAACACATAAATAACTGACCAGCTCAGAAACTTCAATTGGTTTGGGTGCACTTCAAGAGGATCTGCCATGGGCGCATCTGGTCCGAGGGCTCCCCACTTCGGGTTGATGTTGCCGTCGCACCTGACTTCGAAGCCATTATACAGGATCAAACAGCCCAAAAATTCAAACAGCAGCTGACAAAGGTTGAAAGGACATAAAAACCCTGTCGGCTTTATATAAGTCCCCTCAACCTCTGCTGGTTTGCTAATCCTGCCACATCACGCGCTGACGTCTAGCAAAGCATTCAATGTGAGTTCACCATTGACCCAGTCTTCCAAGTACTGCGCAGCCCGTGTGAGGTCAAGCAAAGGGTCCCGGAGTTGGGGAACAAACTTCAGGATATGAGAGCGGTACTCTTCGCCAATGTCCTTCTTGTCGTGGACAACTGCCATCGGACACAAGCAACAAAGATGAACGCAGCCATTATTGAGTCTCCCCGCCTGCTGGCACTCCATCGGGCAACCTGTACATTGCAAGGTGTCTCGGAAAGTGCAGGAAGGAGCCCGACCAATCTTTGTCGGCCATGAACCTCTTGGTCCTGCGCCGGCAAGCCCATGAATGACTACAGCATTCCCATGAATGAGCGGAACTGACCCAGGCCTCAAAATGACGTCATGGGGGTGCTGTGGGTAAAAACCTCGAAAATATTTGGAGTCGATCCCATCGGCGTCAGAGCCTTAATCGCAGTGTGTGGCACGGTGTGAGTGGCATTGACACAGTGGGGGTGCATGCGTCACAACACGAACAGCCAAACGCAACCAAAAAGCCAACATCCTCTCTCCGCTCAAACAAAAAGTAGTGCGGGGCGCCGGGGCCTCCCACCCCCTTGAGGTGAACCGGTACACATTGCGCTAAATAGTCTCTCCTGAAGTGGCAAGCACTCAGAGGTAAACCTGACCGAACAACCACACAACAACAAAAAATTACTACTCTATATATATATATATATTTATAGTACTATATACCGCGCGTTGAAGTTACTGTAAGGCCCAAAAAGAACTCTTGCTACAATCTGTGGCAGGCTTCCAGTTTCGGACACGATCAATCTGCACAACTCTGCGGGATTCAACCGGCTCAAATGGAAAATCCGCTTTGTCCAGGAAACTTTGGATCAGATCACAGAAGTCGGGGATGGTTTGGCAGAAGCGACCTTCTCGAACTAGAAACGCAGCCAAACGACCGAAGGCCTGGTCCAGGTCTTCATGGCTGTGGCCAGATCTTAAATTCTGCATTGCGCAAGAGCGTAGCAGGCCTGGATCGGTAGCTTGCACAGAATCTACTCAATGCACATCAAATAGCATTATTATTTAGGCTGTGACACGAGACAGCACCAGAAAATCAAACTGTTACGGCGAAGAGCCCCTGCTCACCATCGAACTCATCCACTGCATGCTAACGTTGTTCTTCAACTCCCGAGACGTGTTGTCACAGGAGATTGTCAAATGACAATCCCTGAGAACAACACCGGCGCGCTCAAGCAGCGAGAGACCGTGCGAGATAACTTCCAAGGAACACGACGCGTCCTTTGCTATGTCAGGGGCGCTGACTCCAAATAGTATGCCTCGGCCATGCATTAACAATCCACTCACGTGTCCCTTCGGACGTTGAAACGTTGCAAACTGCTTGGATCGTAGGGCCGGATGTCTTGGAAATCCAAACTTTGCTTGGTCCACGCCATCTGCCATAAAGGTCAGATGGCATCCACGGAGTCGGGCTTGTCCCCGGCTGTGGTAGTAAGTCAGCCGGTCCTGGTACTGAGCGGCCAAATGCGCGTGGTAGTAACTTTGTTGTAAGGTTCGCGCTTTTAAGTGCTGCTGGAAGCTGCGGATGAGCAGCTTGTGTCTGACACAAGTGCTGCACTCGGGGTGTTGTCTTTCACCGCGGAACTTTAAAAATGGAAACTCCCGTTTCCAGACCTGAGCATGGCGCATCAACAAAAACGGAACAACTACCAACACCTGTTGACAGTTGCAATTTTCCACTTGGATTGGCCTGCAAAAAAAAGACCCCCACAATTCCGGTTCGAGCTGCCTGAAATGCTGGGTTTTGAAGGGGAAAACCGGACTTGTGGGGGTCTTTTTTTCGCAGGCCAATCCAAGTGGAAAATTTGCAGTTGACAGGACATAAGAACATTCTTATCTGGGGAACAAACACATATCATACACAGCGATTGAAACAATTACCCAGCGACACGGTAGAAGGTAACGAATGAGGCGGCGGGCGTGTTCAGGACCTTGTATTGCTCCCAGATTTCTTTGAGACTTCCAGGCGGTAAATAGCGCTCCTCGTGAAGCCCACCCAACTCAGGCTTCCTGGCCAGGTCTACCTTGATTGATTTCTGAAACTTGCGAACTTTCTTGACCTTGTCCTTCCTTGGCGCTCGAGTTTTTTACAGCTGGTCGGGTAGTTGTACTTCGCAAGATTGAATCTCCATACGGGTCCACCTTGTCTGTTTCATCTTCCGGCGCTGCCAGGGTGGTTTCGATTTCAAAGTCACATGCTTCGTCGCGAATGTCGGGCAGGGTCTCGGCGACCGACTGGTACATGGAGGACAAGAACGACGCTACAGAAGCAGTCGCTTCACTAGGGTTCTTAGACATGGGCTTGGAGATGTAGCGAAGATCAACAGGGGCATTGACATAACCGGCTTCCGCGGCCTTCACCATTTTCTCAAAGCGGCGGGCGCCTGCATGATTTTAACCAAAATGAATACATACAAAACAGCAGCGCCTAACCAACACAGGTTGAGAGAATGAAAACGGATCTCAAGACCAAGAAAGGATGCAATGACACACACACAAACACAAGGATCGAACGACTTGGATGGGGCTTTAAGCTGGTTTGCGTCAACAAGCGTTAACCCTTGTGGTTGTGCCCAGTAAAAAAAACCTTTCGCGCAAATTTACGGCAAAGGTACCGATAGCATGTAAGCTTTTCCATGCCTTGCGGCAAACAGCTTCACCAAGAAAATGCCAGCGGCAGTCCTCCTGCTTGAGCTTGTCTTTAATCCGCTCATAGACCTCGAAAGGCTAGCGCAGTATTCTGGGTTCAAATGGCAGTGAGCGACTTCCCCTACCAAAAAAAATAGAAAAACTATTTAAATTAGACGGTGATCAATGGCATCCTGGTCCAATTTGTGGAGGGAATGCCACTGCTGGCGAAATTGCAATAGCTCGTTGAACTTCTCAGAGCCCCCAAACTTCTGGAAACAATGTGTCTTGGCGCAACCACACGGCTTCCCAAGCATTGCTCTTACACGTAAAGGGTTGTCCAAAGTCAGTCCCGCATCATGCGTCTTGTTTTTTTTTGGTGGACTCTGACCCTCATGAACATCAGCGCTGGCATCGTCCGCACTGTCACCACTCAACTCTGCCACATCGTTCGCCACCGGCATGCCAATCGGAGTGATGGCAATGCCACGCGCGCTCCCATGAACAATCTGTTGTTTTGTTCTGTGTGAAAAAGCTTTGTTTGCGCAGCTGCTGCAAAGAGAAGATGTAAGCAAAAGTTTTGTAAGATGTTGTTTGACTGGGCTACTCTGTGGGCAAGTGTTGTGTGTAACATCCTCGGCTACAGTTCATTCAAGCTTACTTTTTGCGTTATCAAGGTTGCAAGAATACCTAAGCATTCTTTAGAGAAAATGTCAAAGGTCCAGACGAACTGCGAGATCTCATGCTGCTCACAAACTTGCAGCAAACACAGAGTCATCAAATCAATAAGTGGTAGGGCAGCATTTGTTAACGCAAGCGTAGACACCGCGATCAAAGAACAAACATAACAAACAGGGTGCATTCCCGTTTGTCAAATGAACCTGTCATTAGCTGCTAGAGTTGAGTCCCTACAATTCGAAGAATGTTTCAATGCATCTTTCACAAGCGTGTTTTTTGGCTGATTCGCCAAAGGCGAACCTGCTCAAGCTGAAACTGACATAAGATGTATCTTTGGTCAGAGCAACCCAAATCGGACAGTTAATTGCGCGTGAATTAGCGCCCCGGAGCGGAAAGGACAAAACGCTCAGATGTGGCAATCACAAGCCTGACCTTTTTGTCCTAGGTGTATATATGTATTTATATAATATAATCATTCAACAGTGTCATTATTTGCATCATAGAACTCCAATGTGGGTCAAATGTAAGCAGAACCATCTAGCGTTAAGGTCACCAGCACCGAGCCTCAGTCAAACTAGCTATGCCAATGTTGGCCAGATTTCAAGGCCAAGCGCAGCACAGCAAGGGGCGACAATGTTCCCCAAACAGTGCAAGCGATCCTTCGACAATGGGCTGCGATCGTCCTCAAGCCACAAATGCATTGGAATCTGGTTCCAATGGTTGAAATTGGCTTGCAAGTGCTCCGCCAAAGGCTTCGTCACCATTCCCTGCGGGCTTCATCCAACCAACACATTCGTGAAAATTGTGAAATCAGCAACTGGCCTGAAACAAGTTGTCTCCAGGCTTCGAAGCCAACAGAAACACCCTGTGACGGCCAGCCTGGACAAGCTAAACTAAACTACAATGGCACATCGTGACCGTGTGATGATATACGTCACCAGGCCTGAAAGCCGCAATGGCTGAGCGAAGTGGTTGCCCATCGGAGCTCCAACCCCCGTGCCTGACACTCCTGTTTCACATACAAATGACAAATGACCAAACAAGCCCTTCTTCCAAAACAACAACTTTGAGCAGCCAGTCTGTAGGCTCCTTGACCAAATACAAGAAGAGTTCCCTCATCTCCGCCTTCCGTCCAAGTAGTCCTTTGACGTTCTCCAAATACATAAAGCGCCTGGGAACAGTTGGGATGACCTTGTTCTACGACTACTCTAAATCAAGGCCTTGGGCCCGAGCCCCGACATATCGTCATAAATGCGGAAGCAATGAGAGACCAACGATGTCCGCTGGTCACCCAAACCCCGCTGGGCACCGGCTATGCTCACCCCCTCGGACAAACAAAAAGATGGTGGGGAACAGGCAACAAACTGGGTTTGATCCATGGCCTGACAAGGGAATCCTCCCCCCACACCACCGTGGAGGGAGGCTGCGGCGCTGTCTTTGCCCTGGAAAGTCTTGACATCGGTGTGTAGATTTGCTTGGTGCAACGATCCATCTGCCATTCGTGCTGACAGCACAGATCTGCAGAAGCTGCTGCTTTCCACCTTGATGAGTCGGCAGTCTCCCCCCACAACAAACAACGCGACAGGCTGAGTTCAATGCGTAATCCGTTGCATAGACCCACCTGGATGAAGCATGATTAGGATGAAAAACACATGTGTAAACAAAGCCCAATCGTATCCAAAGCTTCGATGCGCTTGGAATCGAGCTTGGACAAGCCCAGCTCGAGTCCACCGACTCCACTGAAGAGGCTCACGACCGGCAGCTTCCCCACCTGTGCAACTACTATGTTCGTGCTCACCTCGCAAAAGCTTAGCCGGGCCTTGGTCTTGAGACATGGGAACATTGCCATCAAATCCTGTTGGTTGACATGTCCCTGAGGGTTTGTCCACTGCAGCGGTAGTCCTGCCGCGATTGCAGGAAACTGAAAAACTGATAGTCAGCCGTAGTTCCAAAGGTGCAGAAATGAACGGAAGCCGTTGATCCAAAAAATTCAACAGACTTAGTCAGTTATAAAATTGTCCTGACATCCATTCACCCGTCTCTGCTGTGAGGTGATTTGCAGGCGGTTTCCCGGCTGCTTTCACTGCGTCAGCATAGGGCTGTGAAAACCGGACTTGATTGGCTACATCCTTGGAAGGCATGACATAATCGCGGGCGGTGTCTGAAACAGCCAAAGGTTGAAGATGAGAACCGGACCGAGATCGCGCGTTCTGAGACCTTTCCAGTGGCTGATGCACTCGTAGTTCCACTAAAGCAACCTCAAAACGTGAAACTTTAAGTGTTGCCCACGTTAGCTAGCTGGCTTGGGTTGAGACGGATCGTTCCATAGGATGAGAAGGTGCGGGTGCCAGTGAACAGCTTGGTGTTTTTGGCCTTGAATCCAGGCTTTTGCCGGCTCACCTTGCAAACGGCATCAATGCAAAGGACTGCGCAACCTTCCAAAACAGTGAAACTTGTTTTCAACATTCACAAGTGATAAATCAGCCAAGTAACCACCTTCAAAGACAACTTTGGAGCTTTGCTCAACCGAGTGCGGCCAACAATCACTCGAAGCGACCCACCCTTTGCTGGGCTGCGGGCAATGCCAAAAGCTGGCAGGTTGTCCTTGCTTCACACATGCACTGACGCAGCAAGCATTGAAAACATCTAAAGACTAGTGAGGTACCCCCCTACACACAAAGGCGAAAAAGAACAGTAGAATTTGTTGTAGGAAAGATGCTGTCTTGGTGAAGACTTGCTCTGATCCCGACTCGGTCACCGTAGTCCGCGCTTTTGCCTGCTTCTGGTGTTTAGTCCTAACTGTTCCTTTCCCAACCTTCTTCTGGTGTGCCTGCAAGCGAGGTGACATGATTTCACATCTCACGTTGTTTGAGTCCAGGCCCAACTGGCCTTCATCATTGTTGGCGCCCTAGCCTTCTTTTGGTTCGCCTGCCAAAAGTTGAGAAATATATATAAATTTTCTAACCGTATTTGGAACAAGCAAACCAGCTGGCCTTCTTCACTTTGACCTTACCCTTTACCTGTGCTTCGCCATCCGACCTGGGCTGCTCAAACTAGATTTATAGCCAGTAGGTTGCCATTAATACTGTCATTCTCACCAGAACTCAGCACCTGGCCCACTCAAACAAGATAGTGAACGCTTCACAGGCATGGTTTCTTAAACCAGTTCCGGCCAGGTGACTTCACAAACGGCTGCGGCTTGCACTAGACACATCAAACAAAACAAGTAAAACATGAAGTCTCTTGGAAACAATTAGCTTCACCACGTGCGTCTTTGAACATTCCCCCAGGCTTCGTTTTATCAACCTTAATAAACACGAGTTGTTTTGGCATCCAGAAACCACCTCCGGCGACACAGTTGGAAGGTTTCCGCGGTCTGGGTTCCATCTAGTAACTAGTATGCATGCATGCGGGCGCGCAAATCGGGTTAAAAACATGTGACAACATCATAAGTAGTTTTGAATTTTTTAGTTCAAATCGTTCACATCCTTCGGTTCTGAATTTCACTATAGTCACCGCATGTGGGCCATTCTCAAGGTGTGATTCAGGATTCATCATGTCATGTACCCATGGAGAGCTAGTACTAGCTCTCGCGTGGCTATGGCAGCACAGGCATTGAGGCACCCATTCATTTTGAGGCACCCATTCAAGGGAAAACTCTTTTATTCTAGCAGCGTACAACAGTTTCATTAGGAGACTAGCAGCATGAGGCGCTAGGTTACCACGAGGTTGCTCCTTCGTATCAGACTTGACGTCATCGTCTGTTGACCTGGCCTTGGAAGCTGCCTGGTCAGGCGAGAAGCAAGTACCACACCATGTGCATGTGACAGCAAGTCCCTTTTGGGTACTGCATGGTGCTCTCGATGGATGATCCTTTGTGACATCCGGTAACATCGGCGTTGCAACTTTCTTCAATACTGTGTCCTTACCTACTATGTCGAGGTATTTGACCACGCTCATTTTGAGCAGAGCGCTCATATCATATGTCATTGTAGTAACTTTGGAACCATCGGCCAATTTATCTTCGCCTTTCGACAGAACACATCCTAAATACAATCCGACCTCGGTTTCCGGTTCAATGCGCAGCTTGGATCGGAGTAGGTCCCACCCTTTCTTCAAGTTCTCCTTGGGCCCTGCCAACTTCAAGTCGTCCACATATATCACTAACAGCAAGTCTAGCTTTTCGTGGTAATACATCGACGGCCATTCTGGTCCGACGGGTTTGAACTCCAATGCACGTACAGATTCGTCGCAATGTTGCTCCCACATCGTTCCAGAGTCTGGATGTCCGTATAATGCTTTGTTCACACGACACATAGGGCGTTTGAGACCCCTTCTGGTGATCTCCTCTTGCAAGTGCTTGGGCCATGCTTCCCACGGGAGTTCAGCCCAACACGGTACACCGCCCAATAATGCTTGGATATATGCTCGAATGGCGTCTGCCATCTGCACATCATTACCTTCCAGGCAACCGTAGAAATCGGCCCATCGAGCAGCTTCGAATGTAGCTGGAGAGTTTCCAAGATCTTGGAACAACGCTGCCTCGAAGTTCTGGTTCTTCACTTGATCTCCGAGTAGAACCCCTCGCCCTTTGAACTTCCTCTTCGGGTCATCGTCAGGCAGTTGGTAGTTCTTTTCCACACATATTCCATGTACTCTTGCTAAGTGAACTTCTTCTCCTTTCTTCTTGGAGGTTGCCACGATCTCATCATATTCTCTCAGCCACGACCCGTCGAATGTTTCCTCATCCCAGAGTCCGCCCCATTCATCCAACATAGATTGCATTGCCTTCTTATTGGATAGGATCTCGGCACGGCTCACAGGTCTTGATACCACAGCGTTGAACAACCTATTGCCCATAAGTTTTGGGCGATGTTGCGTATCACGCACTACACATGGCATCGTCGGAAATGGTTCATCAACTATATCGTTGTCAATGGGATCACCAGTGATGCAACAACATATCTGACCGTTCAGTGGATTGTAGACGTTCTCCGTCTTCCAAGCCGCCATAGCAAGATTGTCATCGCTGTCCTCCCACATGGCACTCTCGTCCCAATCGGTGAGGAATTCTTCATCACTGGGGACACATGTGGACTCGGATGTAAAGGATTTAGGTGACCATGGGTCCTCATCATCATCAGTGTCCCACTCCATAAAGGTAGTAGGCATAGCCAAGCTTGGTCCACCTTCACCCTTCTCTTCCTCGCCCTTAGACTTCTTTTCTTTCTTGGACTTCTTGTCCTTCTTGGTTTTCTTATCCTTCTTGTCCTTCTTGGACTTCTTTTCACTACCCCCCTTCATCACCCTTCTTGACGTCTTCCAGGTCCTTCAAGAGTTCATCAGGCTCCTCGTCCTCCTTCTTATCCGTACTGCTCCCAAGTCCTCTTGCTTTCTTCGACAATCTATCCACGACCCTGTCTACATGCTTCCCGGCCTTCTTGGCTATAGCTCTATCTTTCACCGATAGCTTCTGCCATTCTTCAGGTGTAAGGTAATCCTTGGGTCTTGGTGAGTTGTGGAAGAGTCGCCTTCCATCCGATCCCACTCTATATAGACGACCGTCCTTCGCGATCTTGACGTGTTCGCCGTCGTTGTTCAAGTAAATGATGTTATCACCTGGCCCCCCCAACGGAGTAATGATCGGGACCGGAGTAGTCCTCTTTCTTCTTCTCTGCGAGCTCCTCCGTTTTCTCATCCTCGATCGCGTCAATCTCGCTAGCTCTTGACTTCAGATCCCCGTCTGGTGGATCGGGCGCATCAT